CGATCAAGACCAGCGCGGCGACACCGTCAGATGACTCGCCGTCAAGCGGACCGGTCGTTGGAGCGCAACCGTGTCTGTAATTCACCAACAGGCGCAGGCGGCCTTTTCGCGGTGGTGGCCCTCATGGCACGCGACCTTGTCGAAAGGAAGGTTCCATGCCCCATCTCCAGACGTCACGGGGCCGAATCGGGAAATCCCCTCTGCCCGTTTCGACGATGGGCGGCGACTGTTTCGAATTTCGAACACAATCCGGAGCGGGTGGATATTCGATCGACGACTGGGTCTCCCAGGGGCTTCGAGGAATTCGTGCCTGAGGAATGGAGCACAGCAGACGGGAGCGCCGTGCCTGGGACAAGGCGCGCCCGGCGGTTGCGCGGAGTGACGACCACCTCACCCCATTACAGTGGATGCCGTCTTGAGATGGGCCTGCGGCGCAGGCAAGTCGAGTGTGGTAGTATGTCGCTGGGTGGAGGATAAGGTTGGATGGCGGTGCAGAGATCCACTGTGTTGCGGGAACCTCCACCGCAGCTGCAGGTGATGCGGACGATGGGTGAGGGCAGTCCCGGTGAGTCGTTATAGCTTAATTAAGGTCGATGGGTAGGTAAGGTATCGAGGCGAGGCCGGATGCCATCTGCGTCTGCGGGAAGACAGCTGAGTGGCGATGAGGAGGGGAGGTGGGCTGCGCCTGGGCGTGCAGCCGTGGGCGCCTGCCCATGTAGTTGATTCCTTGGTACCTTGGGTAGGCGCGGATCCAGCTGCCTCCGCTGCCCAGATCAGTCATGAATGTCCCTCTGCCGCTGCTCCAATGTCCCACCACGGGCTCACACCTCATCCACGCCTCGCTGCCCCTCTGCCGACGAGTGCCGGGGCGTGCAGCGCACCCAGCGAGGCCTGGTGCCCTGCTGCCCTGCTGCCCTGGACAGCCCGCCGTTGAAAGCCCACCGCCACAGGGCCCTTGGGCCGAGTGGAGGCGCGGGGGCCGGCTCTCGGGGGCTCGGGCGAGTTGACGACGACGGCGGGACGCCTGGGCTGCCTCGCGGGATCTCACGGGTTCAAGGTCCCATCGTGGGCGTGGCGGCGGGCCTTGTGCGAAGCAGTACGCGTACCTACAGGTGGCACAGCGTGTGGGAGCCGACGGCAGTGGCGCGCGCGCGCGCGGCAGACAAGGCAAAGGATGAGAGGCCGTTCACAGCCCGTGTTGTGGAGTTTGAGGGTTGAGTAAGGTCTGACAGGACCCGATCTGGCGCCATCTGGCCATCTGGCCCAGCCCTGGAGGAGCCCTGGAGGCGCCCTGGAGCCTCGCTGGCGGCCGTGTGGCACCTGCCTTTGAGATGTGGCTCCCGCCCTGTCCCGAAGGTGTCGTTCCATGAAGGTGTGGCTCCGCCCTCCCCCCCTGTTAATCGGCGCGGTAAGGCAGGTACCTGCCAAGGTACCTGAAGGTACTTTGTGTTCTCGTCGCTCGGGCAGAGCCGCCAGGCTGCGTGCCTTGTCTTGTTTGCGCTCAGGCTCTTCTTCATCACAGGATGCGGGCCTTGCACACTTTGCTCTCAGACGACTGATGGGACTGGCGCCAGCGCTTCCCGCTTTTCTGCGCTCAGCACCTTAGGTAATACCGAGCCAGAGAGCGGTGGCGGGCGCGCCGGCCAGGGGTCTTGGGTTTGTCAACGGCGGTGGCTTGTAAACGGCGGCGCAGAGAAATGCGCCTCACATCCCAGGTCAGGTGGCGTCCATGCACCGGCGGCGACGGGACGCTGGAGTTCCCAATGAAGAGGACACCTCGGTACCTTGAGTACCTACTTCCAAGTTGGCATCGTACGAAAGTACCTGGACTTTGTGGTAATTCCCCGGTAATTGCCTGCTCGGGGCTTCCATCGTCGAGAGGAAGGCGCACGCCGACATTCAGCAGCCCACCCGACAGGCAGGTGCACCCGGGGCAGCAGAAACCTGTCCTGGCGCCGCCACGAGCCCAACGCGTATTCCGCCTCTGGCTCAACGACGACAAGCGGAGCTTCTCTGAGAACTTCGCTCTGAACTTTGTCTCGACTTCCCCACTCCCCGGCTTCAGCGCCACCATTTGCGCCATGAGCCCTACCCGTGGATGCCCGTGGCCGTCGAGGCGCCACATCACGCTGGCGGCGACCCGCCTCACTCGCCTCTAAGAGAGGACCTGAAACCTGGAACCATGTCGAAGCCCCGTCCTTCCCTGACTCCTTGCGACTCCGGCGTTCCAGCATCAGCGGAAGCCTCCACGACAGCGACGGCCTCGCGCTGCCCCCTCGCTTGCTGTACCGCTTCTTCGCTTTCCTTGGGGTGGGTGGCGCGCGTTGTTGCTGGTACCGACCCGCGATGCCTCTTATATTGCACTGCGCGTTCTTCGAGGCGCCAGCCCGACAAGATGCGTTGCAAGGGGTCCAACCACATGGCCTCGCAACATGCTGGTGGACTTTCCCACGGCGATAAGCTGTACAGCCCCGGTACTGTACAAGACAGGCACTCCGCAAGTACAAGGACCTTCATGGATGCACAAAAATCGCGGGAGCCCCAGGGGACGAAGATGCACCCGCTTCGAGATACCCACAGGCACGCGCAACCTTGAGCCTGGCAGCCTGGGTCTGGCACTTCGCTCTCACGCACACCCCCCTCTCACGCCCCTCCTCTCGTCCGGGCCCCGGACCCTTGTCTCCTTGGACGGCCCCCCGAGTTTGACGGCCCTCACTCAGAGGACTGGTGAATCCGGCTCAGTGTGTACCGGTGTTCCGAGCCTGACCCTGCCTGCCTGATGTCGCGGCGGGCGTGGGATTCTGGATAGCCACCACCCCAAGATCCACGATTCGATGCTCGCCTGCCGAGACTTGCGGATGCCCTCCCAGGTACCTCGCCGTGCCTCGCGAGGCGGCAAAGGTACTCGTACCCCCCCGGGCGGCGAGCCCAGCGAAATCGCCCTCCCCAAACCAAGTACACGCCTTCGCCCTCGCCCTCACCCTCGCCCGCTTCGACACGCCTCGTCCGGACCGTCGTCTGTTTTGTCTTGGCTGGCGCCCTGACTCTGGTGGCCCATGTATCTGACGGACTGGTTCCGTGCACCTCCACTTGCTCGCAACAAGCCGTCGTAGGCGTCCCCGTCGTCATCCTTCTTGAAATCGGCCTTCCCGTGGATCTTGTCACCTTGCGAACTCTCCCATCTTCACTCGCGTGCCTTCACCCCAGTCGATTTCCTTGCCGAGCCCTCTTGGTGGCTTAACATTCTTTGACCTTCGTCCACTCTTTTGACCCATCGTCCCCATCGGAACAAACATCTTATATCAACCCTGTTAGAGCCGGCTCTTTTTCCTTTCTTGCCGAACCGGCCGTTCGATCATTATTCTGTCCCCAAACTACACTCCCCGTGACACACCATCAGGTCGCCGCCTCGTTCTTTTCAAGATCAACTGCTCACTGTGGTATCACGATCTCTTCGCGCGTACGCACAGCTATCGTTTACATTCTTTGGTCGGACCGGATTTGGCCCTGCGTGTCTTTCTAGAAGCGCCAGCGCTCTCCACCGCCGCCTGAGACGTCCACGGAATCCCAGTCGCAGCATCTCTTGCTCACTCTCGTATGTAAGTGCATGGGACCTAAGCAGCCGATCCTCGTTTGGACTTTGCCGTGGAGACGGCCTGTTACCGCGACGTCCATGTCTGCAGGCCGCGCGGGAAGGCTCAGTGTGCAGTGGTCGCCAGTTTGCTAATGAGAAACTAGACGCGCAGTGACCCTGGCCGACAACTATTTCCTTGACTGACACAATAATCGCCAGTCGACTCTGCTATTTATTCCCTGGTTCTTGCTTGTCTGCCTTATGGACAGCAACCAGGCTGAAATGTGCGTCTCAAGCCCCCTTGTCGTGCTCCTGCCACAACCAGCTCATACCTCGTGCTTCAGGCGGCAGCAGATGCGGCCGCATTCTGTTTACTATTCCGCCTCTGAAGCGAAGCTCTACTCGCCTGAGCCCGATCAGCCGACGCCCATGTCGATGATGGACGCTGGTGGCGTCCCAACTACGGAAGCAATGATGTCCGTCAGTCCAGCTTGGCTCACCCCGCCAACATCGCAGCCCCGACAGCGCCCCGAGTCCATGTATCAGGATGGCATGTCTTGCTGTTCGGGCGATGACTGCACTGCGATGCAAAGTTGGAACTCCCTGTCTCCGCATCCAGAGCCCGAGGACGTGAGCTCGCGCCCTGTCTCGATGGGCCAAGAAGTGCTCCCTCTCGGTATTACGAGCAACGGTTGGTCGCCCCCAAAATGATGTGTGAGCTTCCATTGACCCTGTGTTTGAAGATCACTGGACGCAAAAGACATGCGACGGGGGCCTTGACTTCCAAGGACTGGAAGTCGACGGTCCCATCGGTCAGGCGTACACCACGGATGAGGCTGTACCCATCATCGACCTGAGATACCCGAACGTAGGGCAAGATGGACAGCCGTTGAGCATCGAAGACGGCAATCATGGAGGGATGGCTGGCTCGTCCCCACCAACATCTGCCGCTGTGTCCGACATTCAGTCGTATGACGACTTCTCGACGGCCCTCTCTGAGGCCACATCATACGGGTCCGATTACCTTTCGACGTCAAATCGCAACTCCCTTATGTCCTCCATGCAGGTGTCACCAGCACCATCACCGCACATGACCCCCGGGAGGCCCGAACAAGTCCGAGCACAAAGTCGTGGCCGAGCTTCACCCTCCCCTCGACCAAGTGCACGATCTGTCCCGTACAGCCTTGACGGGGTGAAGGGGCAAAGATGGTCGACCGGTTCGTACGCTCCTGGGAATCGACGACACTCCCCGTTCGTCTCCAGCAGCCCAGCCGAGGCATACGGCCTACCTCAACGCATGTCTTACACAGAACCTGCCCCGGGGCCTTATCCCACGCATCCAGCACCGTTGGGGAATGGTGGCTTTCCAGGAGCCTCTCGCGCGCCTTTTATGATGGGCGGGCAGCCGCTGTATCAAAGGAACAGCATGCTGTTGCCCTCTCACATGCCGCCTCAGCCTTTCCACACGGATCTACGACACTTGGAGCAGCCACCGCCTCTGCCCTCTCAAGGACTCTTCAAGATGTTGCAGAGCAATGGCGACCCCCACACCCTCCATGGGCACTACACGGACCTCTCAGAACCCCCCGACCTGTTCGCGTCGCTCCAAGAGGAGCAGATACCTCCGCCAGAAGAGGACATGCACCCTGCTGACGCAGACATGATTCCCTACGAGCAAGATCTTCGGTTCGAGGGTGACCTTTACACGCCAAGATGGGTGCGTGGCCACGGCAACAAGCGCGAGGGCTGGTGCGGCATCTGCAAGCCCGGGAGGTGGCTGGTACTCAAGAACTCGGCGTTCTGGTACGACAAATCCTTCACGCACGGTATCAGTGCGGCTACTGGAAGCCCATTCCAAGAGCCGCTCGAGACTAGACGGATGGATGGCAACCCGGACGTTTGGGAAGGCCTGTGTGGCAGCTGCAACGGATGGATCGCGCTTGTGAGCAGCAAGAAGAAAGGGACCACTTGGTTCAGGCACGCCTACAAGGTAAGCACGGCCACTTCAGATTCAGGCAAAATCCGCATACTGACATTAGCAGTGTCACGCCCATCCCAAAGTCAAGGACGGCCCAAAGCGCCGACGAGAGACTGGCCAGGGCCGAGCCATGGTGACCCAGCAGACTGCACGGTTCAAGTCAGATGCGATGCGCCCAGAAACGCCGCAGTCGAGTGGTGCACATACGCCCGGGTTCAACACGCCTACATCGATGCCAATGTCTTTTGGCTACGGACACGGACAATTTCGACCTCATGGGCAGCTTACCCCTGTTCCCACCCCTGAACCCTTGAGGGGGCCGAGCTCGAGGACGCCAGCCTCATTATCCGCCGCCGCGGCTGGACTGACGAACATGATATGAGTGGATGGCGTCTTACGATTTATTGCCTTTTGAATTTTCCTTTCGGCAAACTGGTTGGGGATATCCCATTTCACTTTTCTTTTGTCTTTGTATGGCGAATTTAGACTGAGGGAGGAGAGCAGGGGAGTCTTTGGATCTACGCACGCCTGGCCTCAAACCGTCAGGCGTCGATGCTGTGGGCCTTGGCAGAGTGCCGGCATGTCTAGTCTGGTTGGCAAAGGGAAGGAGGGGAAGTAAGATACGTTACTTGTTGGCTCCTGGAACCCTCCGCTCTGCTTCTTGTGGCACCCTTGTCAGTACGTATGGTTAGGCGACGGGGACTTTGAACTGTTGGAAACGGCGCAGAAAGGAGCAATAGTGGCAGTTGCAGAAGCCAACTGCCGGAATTGGAGACTGTCAATTTGTTTTACCGATGAGGCGTGCAGTTTTGCCGGGCAACTCGGGCGTCGTGTTTGTAATGGCTTCGGAAGATCTGCGCGGATGTGACAACTCGGGAACAGTAGGTAGCTTACAACCGCGGACGCGCCGGAAGGCGTGTTTTCTCGGCTTGGAATTCTCTTCCTTCACTCGTACGTTTGGCCAAACAGAGGATGCTGGGTATATGAGACGAGATATGGATATGGGGCCGCGGCTTCGGTGCGTGCGCTGTGCCTTGATTTGCCGGCGTGCGTTGGCGTGCCTTGGTGTGCCTGGGTGGTGCGGACGTGCGCTTCCAGGGAGCAGCCATCGTCTGAAGAGTCGGGACGAAAGGGGGAGTGTCCGCAGCTGGTGGCCCCGGAGCGATCGTGAATCTCGGCCGTGGCATCCATCATGGGAGGTGAGTACAGACGGAAGCCGGTCCCTTTGGCATGGATCCGATAACGGGATCCAGAGAACAGACGGCATACCCCGCCGACTTTGACATGCCCATCAAAGAGACTCGCCAAAGGCACAAAGGCGGTTGCACACGTAATGGTCTCGGCCGCGAGTGCCCGCGAGACAGTTGCCCAAAACGCTACAAGTTGCAGAGATGGGGGGGGCGTGGCTGGTGAGGTGCCCATGACACGACTGAACCTTGAGCCTTGGGAACGGGGGATATCCCGGACCGTGGAGGGGGCGGGTTCCAACCCTCTTCGTCCTGTTGTTCGCGGAATGCTGTTTTTATTTGCGCATCGCGTGAGCCACAGTTAATGCGCCAGAGGCTTGTGTCCGTGAGGAAGGGCCATTACGCGTTGGTTGACAAAGGGTCCGCCCGTCCGCTTGCCCGAACCGAACAGCGGCGTTTTCCCTCGTCCTTGTCCGTCATGGTTGGTTGGAGCGCGAGTCTCGACTCCCTCGAAGGAGCCAAAAGACAACACACAGACAGCGGGGAGGGATGAACCCGGGACCTGGAGGGGAAGAGATGGGGAGCCGTCCCCTGCCAAAACGGCTGAAGCTCCAGCGGCGGCGACCATTGGCTCACGACGACGAATCCCGGAGTGTCGGCGTGTTGGAGGAGGTCGAGTCTCAAACTCGCGTCATGCAGGCACTTAAACGCACTGCTCTGCCGGGCACCAATCAGCGGACGGCCGGGCACGTGTGTGTGTCCCGGAGTGGCCCTGTCGAGGGCAGAGGGCTGGAGCTCGAGCCTGCAGTCGCCATCGTGGGCTCTCGGCCACTCGATTGCCGTGCGCGCCGTGCTTGTGAGACGCGGCACCTGTGAGCCACGCTTCGGCCGCTGCGTCGCCCCTCCAAGAGCTGAGGCGGCCGACCGCGCCCGAAGTCAAGAACTGGTCTGTAGGCACAACCATGTTCAGCAGTCCGTGTTGTCCGTTTAACTTGATGATGATTTCCAACGCGCTGTCCAAGCGTCCGGCAGGGCTGCATCACCTCGTCTCCTTCCAACAGATGCCAAACGTCGCTCATGGCTCTCTCGAGGCCTCATCGTGGACGCGGATATCCCCATCCGCATTTCGCAGCAGACGGCTGTCCCGCGCCAAACCAGCGCAGCTCCGAGGCTGGGGAGGCCTGGCGATGGGGAGGGGGGACGGACAGCAGTCAGGAGGAAAACCGGGCCAGACCCCTCCATTCAGCTCGCTCCGGCCGGCTAGGCTATGCTGATTCTGGGAGATTGTAGATTGCGCCGACGCTGCCAAACAAACGCAACTCAATCTAATATCGGCTCGGACTCGCCGGGCTGTTGCTCAGATCTTTGTGGAACCAGAGGCCATCCCCCGGCTCCCCGCCTGAGGAAACACACATGCAACGACGGGTTGTTGCACGAACCCCGTGGGAACCGCCAACTCCCGCGACGGAATAGTGTTGCTGATGATGCAGGTACGAAGTACATTTCACTGGTGGTACTGTACCAAGCTGCGTGTTCGAGTACACATCCTGTACCTGAGAGGTTCCCGACATCGATGCAGGGAATACGGCTCAAGGTCGGTGCGCCATTGTGGCTGTTGCTGAGACCTTTCCGGGTGGTTGCCGGGCGGCGCAGGAACCAGGAACGACTATGACATGCGAATACGCTGCATGCGGGCTTATCTTCTCCATCTTCGTGCAGCACATCTCCGAGCCTCGCCTCTCAAATGCGCGATTCTGTGTGCTTGCAAGAGCCGCTCGGAAGATGGCAACCGACAACACGAAAAAGGAACCTGGGGTCTTCCCAGGCAAGGCGAGACAGCGTGAATGAATGCCTGCCTGTCTAAGAGACCAAGACAATCGCACAGATCCGCATTGCTCGACCGTGAGGCTGGTATGGGTATGGGGAAATTCGTGGCCAACGGGATGCCGAAATTGGATTTGCGCCAGCCGCCAGTCTTCACGGCCGGCATGGGAATTATTGGAGCGCAAATCCCAGTTTATTGTCGAGCCGACTGTCCTCTTTGCAGTAGTGCGCGGCTTGAGCGTCCGGGGTGTTGGCTTCATCGAGATCTGGGGCTGTCAGCCAGCGGTTGAGCATTGAGCAATCAATCAACCAGTCTGACTGCAAAATGGAACAATTGAGCTCGGCTCGGATTGATCTGGTCAAGTTGACTGTCTCCTTGACTGGTTGTCGGGCCAAACAGCCACTTTGTTGCGCCGAGGGCTGGGAAGGCTGAGCTTGTTCAACCTTGAGCCCTAGCAGAACTCACCGAGACTCGACAAGCCAAACAACCCGGGGCGACGCGAACCGACGGGCGAGCCGCGGCGTGCAGCACAGAGAGATGACGGCAATCCAGTGGACGACGGCTCAAGATATGCTACGCTGAGGTGGCGGTTGCAGAGGTGCCTACCGGGCGAAACGCTATGAGCGAGACCAGTGCCCGGCAGTCGAAGTTGGAACATCAGAAACCAGACCCTTTGCGCTGCAACACCCGAATGGCGAGCAAGCTTTCATTTCCTCTTGTCTCTGGAGCCCGGGACGGGGAGGCGCCGCCCATCGAGACACTGGTGCCGAATTGTCTCGAACCGCCCGTGTGGCTCTCCCTTGGCGTGGTGCACCAAGTGCACAAAGGGAGGACGAGGTTTGACCTCTGGAACGTCGAATTCGACCTCCTATTCCTGCCCCTGGCCTTGGAGCGAAGACGGCGTCTAAGGTGCTGTTAGGAAAACTCTCTCCGCGTCCAGGTGGTTGGTGCAGGAAAGGCTGTTGAGCGTCATGAACTCAACTTACCCGGCAGCCCAACCGGCTTGGGCAAGCGCCGCGGTTCGAGGCCGCTGCAGCCACGAATGCTGCCATGGCGCAGAGGCCACTCGTTGAGAGAACGCTGCGAGGACCTGCGTGGTGGGCTTGCAGATTGGTGGGCTGCAGGCTGCAGGCTGCAGGCTGCAGTCCAGGCGGACGAGCTTGTTGCGCGAGTGGGTGGCTGGACGACGGCGAAGGAGGGCAGAGGCTGGGTGGATGGACAGACTTGGACGGCGTTGGGGGAAACGCGGTGCAGCCGCTTGAGAGCTGTGTTACCGCTGGCTGATGGGACAGGAGACGACAAGGCGCTCTATGAGGTGGATGAGGGATTCGTCTACGAAGTAGGCGGATGGCATGTGGCCCCCTCGCACCGATTAATGCCACCTAATTATTGTCTCCTGCACTGAAGGTGGTTGGCTGATTGTGGGCGGCAAGTGCAACCGCCGCGACTGCGACGGCAACTGCGACTTCAACCGCAGAGCACTTGTCTCCTTCCTTCCTTCCTTCCTTCCTTCCTTCCTCCCTCCCTGGCTAAAGGGGAGAGCGTGGCTTTGCTTGCCAGCCCAGCCTTCAACAAAGCCAATGCGCCAACAACAAAGTTTGGGCGCCACAGCCCAAAGGGAGAAACCGCTTTTTCTTGCGTGGCTCGATGGCGCACGCAACGCAGACCGGACGTTCTCGACCGGTTCGCCTAGCGGGGTGGCTCGAGGCGTCTGCGGATGAAGTCGTGGTGGTCATAGATGATGGCCTGACTGGCCGCGACTTGACGAGATTCGGCTCTACCTCCAGGGAGAAGGAGGAGTTGCGATGCGGGCTGCACAAGGCGGGTGCAGACGGGATATCTCAGCTATAGTAGCTCGTTCGTATCCAATAACGCCACCGTGGAGCACGGTGAGACTCTACGTGCAGACGCAGACAGAGACGATAACGCGGAGAGCAGCGACCGCCACGAAACAGATGGACAAGACGGACGAACGACCAGACGAACTGGGGCCATGGCACAGGGCACGCAGGGCGCCAGGAAAGAAACACCAGCGCAGAGCGAACGACATGGCATCGCAGAGCCGCACGACCTGTCAAGGGCCATGCCCCCACAGCGCCTGCGTCTGACCCGCCGCCCCCGGTCCCCGAGCAACACGGCTCTCATTCACTCACGCACTCACCCGAGCATGTCGAGCCGTGTCTGTCTCTCCCTCGGGAATTCCGCGCCCTGGCACATTGTAATCGCCCGCCGGCGGTTGCGTTGTCCTGGCCGAGTCGAACCGGGTCGGGTCAAGTCGAGTCGAGTCGAGTTGAGTCAAGTCGAGTCGAGCCGGCACGGCCGCCAGGAACGAGAGAAAATGGGGCGTCGCGGGGTGAACAGATGGAGTCCCGACGCCGCCCGCCGCCCGGACGGACCAGGAACAGACTGCCCGAGTGGGCAGGGCAGAAAAAAGGCAGAGGCCACAGCCGAAAGCTTCTCCATCCGTTCCGCGCAGGGCCAGGTCCGGCTGCTTGCCGATGCGTTTTTGTAGAGACTGGAGCTCGTTTGCTCCCGTCGGGCGCAATCCTGAGTAAAATACCTATGTAGAGTCTCTGTCATGCAGGCACGAGTCCTCAGCCGGGCATTATTTTTTTCCAACCCCCGCCCTCGTCCCGTCCAGCGTCGCTTCCCTCGGCCATTGGGTCATCATCGCCGAAAGCTAGGTCCCTCACCTCAGCGCCTCACACAGCTCCAGCAGCGCAGCCAGCACGCCCGAGCCTCCGCCCCAAACCCCTGCCACTCGGTCCCCACCAACCGGTGCAGCCTGGGAGCCTACGGAGCAAAACGACCCGCTGGCCATCCGCCGGGGCGCCGATGCTAGCGCCTAGCTGACGCTGTAATCCCACGTTCGTACCTGCCCGCCCTGCGCTGCACCGCGCCGCGCCGCCCTCAACTGTGCCGTCGTCGCCGTGCCGTTGTCCCCCTCCCGCTGGCTCGCTGGCCGCCCTTCCCTCATCCCACCGGTGGTGCGCTTGTCTGCCTGGCTGTGCTCCTCCAGCTCGCTGGCTTGCCGACCTCCTCTTCCGTTCCGTCTTCTTTTCCTCCTGCTCCTCCTCCTCCTTCCCGCTCTCCCTCTCGTCCCTTCATCACCTCTATATCTTCTGCAACTTCTCGCAAGTAGCTTGGCAGCGGGACAAAAACGTACCCACCGAGTGCGAAACCCGCCGCCTCCCTTCTCTTACCGCAGGCACGCTCGCGCTGCCCTGGCCCCCCTGGTCTTCCCACCGGCTCAGTGGTCACTCACTGGTCGCTCACTGGTGAGTCCATCTCCCTCTCCCTTGCCTGCCCACTCTGCCCACTTCGCCCGCCCACCTGCCTCTTGCGCCGCCCCCGCCTGGGCTGTCCGACTCCCAGCACCTCCAGAGCACGGAAGCTGACCGCACCTCGTGCCCCCTTCACGCAGAAATTCTTCCTCTGCTTCAGACTTGATGCCCTCCTTCTTCGTCTTGCTCCTGGTTATGACTGTCAGCGAACCCCGGGTGATGTGCTACGAATAACCGGCTCATCTCTCTGCTTCGATTCTCGTCGAGACTCCCGTCGCTCTGGCCCATAAGCATAGTCCGTTCGATCTCGCCGTGCCTACGAAGTAGCTCGTCCCTCGCCTTGCTGCCGTCTTCCCTCCGTTGGTCACCCCTCGACTCCCGAGCGTCGGTCCTCCTTTCGCGCACCCTGCCACCCGTGAGCCGTTTTGATTGGATATATGTGCGCGGCATACCTTTGCAGTCGCAGCTGTTCGATACTGGGACCTGCTCCGTGCCTCTGGGAATGAACGTGCTGTTGCCGTTTTAGACTGACGGGCAGTTCACGGCGCTGCTATGAGCGAGCACCAGCCGGCTTCAAGGCACGTCCTGCCTCTCCCTCCCCTCCAACCTGGTCGTTGCATCGAACTCGGCTGACTTCGATCCCGTGTGCTACAGCTTTGGAGATCCAAAAGCACAGCCGCCCACCCCCAAGCAGACGCCGACTTCCGCCGCCTTTCCGAGCCCCGTCTTCGAGACCCCCCACGCCCGTCAAGGCTCCTTCCACGAAGCTGGCGGTCTGACGCCCCGGTTCGCCGAAGAGTATTCCGTCTTCAACTCGACGCCGGGGAACCTGCGAGGCACCCCAGGCCCCTTTGCCGACTTCCTGCCCGCGACCCCGTCGAGTGCTTCGGGCGGACACAAGCGGCTGCTGTCTGCTGAGGGTTTCGCCATCCAGATTGCTGCGCATGCAAATCACTTCTCGCCAAACCCCGCCGCTCCATTACCTCCCGTCGACCCATCTCGCCGTCTGCCCTCGTCTCCCGACCCTGCCACAGCCGGCAAGGCAACCGCAGTGGGCACAGACGTCCAGCTCAGCCCCACCATCTCAGGGCCGCGGTCGTCCAAGAAGGTCCGGAGAGGAACAGTCACAGAACCTGCGGAGACATCTCAGGTCTTATCGCCGCCTCCAACCGCACGAAAGGGAGAGCGCAAGCTCGCTCCCAAGCCCAATATGCAAAATGATCAGCCGTTCGGCCAGCCCGACTTTGCTGATCCCTCCCAGCAAGACCTGGCAGCGCTCGTGGCCAATCCCACCGACTTGTTCAGCTATCCTCTGTCTGCCCCTGCTACGGCACCAGTAAATTTTTGGGACCCGTCCATGTCGATGGGCATGGACTTGGACTTTGGTGCGCCCGGTCCAAATGTCTTCCAGTCTCCGAACCCCTCGTTGCACCGTCACACGGGATCGTTTGACTGGAATGCCGAAATTCAGCTGTTCCAGGACACCACTGTGCCGCCACCTTCCTCGAATCAAGAGAATGTTCAACCAGTCAGGCGAGAAAGAGCATTGGCACCAAAGCCTCCGGCGTCCGAAGCATTGGCTGTTACCACGACCATGCCCGCTATTCAGGCCGCCCAGCACACGTCTCTCGATGACCCCTTTGGCATGATGCAACGTGCGCAAGTCGTCAATCCCGACTTTCTGATGAGCCGCCCACAAACAGCGGCAGTGGACTCGGAATTCAACGCCTTGGCTGAAGCTGAATCTGGATCCGCCGAGGAGGCAATTGCCGCATCCAATAAATCGCAATCTGGCGGTGCCCTCCGGAGGGCCAATACCGCCAAAGGAGCAAGGGCTGGCAAGCTTCCGGATAGAGCTCTTGCCAGTTCCCCCATCAAGTCGTCCGCAGCACGGCCAGGCTTGGGACGGAGCTATAGCGAGAATCGTGGTAAAAAGGCACTCGGCAGACCGCCTTTGCCGACTTTGGCGCCAGCCGCCCGACCCGTACCACAGGCGGGTGGCGGTCCCAGCATGCCAGCTGCCAGATCCGGCGGCCGCACCTCGGGCAGGATCTCTCCCTCCAAGACGATGCCTCGGATTTCGAGCCTGGCTGCTATTCCTGAAACATCACCCCAGCACCGTCCCCGTACGTCGGTTCGGTTCACCATTGACGCCCAAGGAAGGGCGAGGGCCGAGACCACCGTGGTCGGCGAGGGTGCTTCCGTCGATAGGAGGCTCCCGCGGAGCAAGAGCTCGCGTGATGTGTCTGCCAGCCGGAACTTCCCCTCGTCAGAGGACGACGATTCGACAGATGACGAGCCGATCATCATACCCAGCCGCAACAACTCGTTCAATGCTTCGTTCGCGCTGCCAGACCCGCGGAGGCCGGTCGGCTCCATCTTTCATTCCTCGAGACGGAGCATCAGCGACAGAAGTGCGAGCAACTCTGCCAATGACGCCGAGAGCGAAGCCGAGACAGTCGTCAACGAGCGCCAGGGTAAGGGCGGGGATGCTACCAGCGAGCTCCGCAAGGTTGTAGAGGATCGCCAAAAGAGATCGAGTCGCATGGGAAGCGCCCGGTCACAACGATTTGTGTCGACCAACGTCGGCCACTATGGCGGCGGCATCATTTCTCCGACGAGCTTGACTGAATCAAGCTACGGCCCAGAAAGCCAGGGAGTGCGCTGCGTTTGCGATTCGGCGTCTCCAGACGAAAGCGGCGGCTTCATGGTCCAATGGTACGTCGCACGGTGGCTACATGTTGAGGCCATAAACACGGCGATATAGAAAGGCTAACTTGCTTGGTTCCAGCGGATCGTGCGAAATGTGGCTCCACGGTAGCTGCTTGAACATTACGAGGCAATCCATGCCCAAGGTATACATCTGTGGATTTTGCGCGAACACAGCCAACATGGCGGGAAGGCGGGCCAGGGATAACGCGCTCGGTATTGGAGGGATGGTATCTCCTCTGGCGAACAAGTCATTTAGGTCCTTTCGGTGATAGCATAGCGACGGGGCCGGTCTCGAGTGGCGCAGGTGTTGGGACTTTTTTTTGTTTGCCTATGTATATGATTGATGTTGCATACTCGGGAAGGGCACAAAAAAGACACGCGGGCTCTCAGCCACGATGGGTATGAGCATGGGTATTGCGCCCGGGGCAGTCATTGTGGACTGACGATAGTGGGCCAGGTTGATACGTCGTATCGGAGTTTGGGCGAGTTGAATACACGAGTGAGGCTCTTTGCCACATAATCCCGCCAGTTGTAACCGAATTGAATGCAACAAGCATTTGGACTTTACTGTGCTTGAGCTTTCCCACGTAATAATGGGACGGGGGCCGCATGTTGTTCAGACCACTAGCACGACGTCTCTCACGTGTATGACCGCATCGACGAGACGTTGCAGCGATCGGCATCAACATCAACATCAACAACAGCAGCGGCACTAGCGGCACCAGCGGCACCAGCATCATCATCAGTAAGTACCTTGGAATTCCGGCCCTTTGGTGGCAAAAATAAAAGAAAAAATCGAGTTCCCATTGTCCGTCCCAGTATCGCCGCTTCCTCCTCGTCGCCGCCGCCGCCAGACCTTTCTTGAATGAAACCGATTTTTTTTCTTTCCCCGTCGGCCACCGCGGAGACAAAATACCAAAACCCTTTCGTCAAACTTTTTTTTTTGGGGGGAGGTGCTGTCTCTCTGTTCTCGACTTTCTTCCTTTATCAAACACAACAAATGTGAGAGGGTGATATTTTTTTCGATGTTTTCGGACGAGGGGGCGAAGAAAAAGGGGAAAGAGGCGGATGAGAAGAGAGATTCACATCGCCCCTCCAGGTCATCACCGATCCTGCCATTGCAAACTCCACCCGCCTCGCCGAATATCTCTGTCCCGGGTGTTCCAGGTTCGTGGGACAGCGAAAGCGAGGAGGAAAGGTTGCGCTGGCCCCTTTAGCCCCGTACCATGGCCCCGTCTCTCTCGGGGTGAAATCCCTCCACCATCTTCCTCCAACAACACGCAGTACCCGGTCGGACGTCATGGAAAGAAAAACGCGTCGCAATTACTCGTGGGTGAACAAGAAGAGGGCGGAGGGGACCCCGGGAGGCCATGTCGTCGCTGCGTCGGCGCGCTTATTTGCCGCCGAGGGTGGGGAAGGCGGACTCATCCTTAGTGTTGATGGGAGCAGCGCCGTCGCGGGCACCACCACGGCCGCCGCGGAAGTTGCCTCCACGGCCGCGGTCGCCGCCGCGCTCACCACCGCGTCCACCACGTCCGCCTCGGCCGCCGCGAGCTCCGCCGCGGGTTCGCTCGGGCTCGACGAAGCGAGGGTCGAAGTCAACGGTCTGCTTGACCTTGCGCTCGCGCTCGCGCTGCTTCTTGCCGCCGCTGGCGGGCACGAAGTCCTCTTCCTCCTTCTCGAGGGTCTTGGCGCCGGCCCACTTCTTGTCGAGCTTGCTGCCCTCGTTGGCCTCGCGGACCTTGAAGTCGCCGCTGAGAGCGGCACGCTTCTCCTGCTGCTGGGCAAGGTACGCCTCGTACGAGATGCTCTTATCCTCGGGCTCGGCGGCCTCCTCGCCGGCAGCGTCCTCGGCGAGAGCCTCGGCCTTCTCGGTCTTAGCGATGGCCTCACCGGCCTGCTCGTCCTTCAGCTCGGCATCGCCCTCAGCGGCGCCCCACGACTGGGCAGCCTGCTTGTCGGAGCCGCTACTGGAGATGGTTAGGGACGACGCCATGGCATGGTTAGATTCAGGAGAAGGGGCTTACCCATGAGCGCCAGCCCGGTTAGGGTGTCGGTCATCGAACTCGCGAGGGCGGCGGGAGCCACGGCCTATGGATAAATCAGTAAGGCTGCGCGATATGGTTCGTCGAGCTTGACTGGGTGCCCGGCGAATGCTCAGGTCAAGAACGTACCGCCACGGACGCGCGCGCCGTAGCCGCCACGGGGGCCGTCACGGCCAGCCTCCTCGGTGGAGCGGCCCTGGTTGCGCTCGCTGCCAGCGGCACGGTCGCGGAAGGCTGCGAGAGAAGCTACGTCAGCACCAGTGTCTTCCATCCTGGGTGTTTGGAAGGATCGTCACTAACCACCCTCGTTACCACGGGGACCGCCGCGGCGGTTGCCGGTGCCGCGGGCCGGAGCAGCGGGGGCCTGGGGCTCGACGTTGCGCTTGGTCGTGCGCGCGGTGGCCTTGTCGACGGTCTTGACAGGGACGACGGGCTTCTCCTCACCGTCGCTGTCGTTGCCTGGATGCGGATGAAAGGTCAGCTAGCCTGGTCTCTCCCTATCCGTGTGCCCTCCGTCTTCAATTGGAAACATGGCCCGACGAGATCGGGATCGATCGGTCGACAGAGGCTTCGGGAATTCCGCGTCGCGGCGGTGAAACGGGTGAGGGAGAGGGCAAGAGACTGTACCGAGGTAGGCAAAACGGTTCTGCGAGAAAGGACAGGTCAGCATATTGGTCAAGTCCTGGCCTGGAGGGACGACGTGGCAATATCGCGACATGAGCTCGCGGGAGCTCGCGGGACGGAAGCAGCGAGGCAAGCAGCCCCAAAGAGGAAAATTGCGAGCGACGAGCAGCAGCAGCAGCGAGGCTGAGGGACAAACGTACCTGGGACGCGACGTTGGACATGATGGGCGCCTGGCTTGTCGCCTACCGTTTCAGGGCGTGCGTTCGATGGCGGCGTTTGCTACTGTTGGTGGCAAGGGAGAGGTTGCTAAGATCGCATGACCTCTGGGGGGGGAGGGTTGAAAAGCGCGGAAGAGTCTTTGGGGGGAGGGTGGGTGTGGGTGGACACCAAAGGCTGGCGGCGATGGGGCGGAGTGCAGTGGCAGCGGGAGCTGAAGACTGACTGACTTGACTGGCGATGGTGAGTGAGGATGGGAGAGAGGTGCGAAGAAAATGCAAGATGCGCTGGGGGGGCCTGGGGTTGGCTGGCTGGGCGGGCTGGTGGGCGCGGGCTTGCTCTGTGCTCTGGCTGGGCCTTGGCTGGTGCTGGTGGGCTTGTTCTGCTGCTACTGGGCTGACGGAACCTCTGTAGCTGGTGGTGCTTGCGGTGCTTGCGGTGCTTCCAGTGGACGCACCCGGCCTAGCGCCACACACAGGCCCGCCCTCGCTTAATTCCGTCAATTTTTGTGGTGAATTTGTTAGGGCTGTGAGGTAACGCCTGCGGTAGCTGCGAGGCAATTTGGCCGTGTCGCGTTAGGACTGGGGCCGACTGTTACAGCAGACGCTCTAACAGCGGGGCAGCCGGTGATGTGTGCCAAGGCTCCCCATCCAATGTCCAGAATGCAGCGCCCGAGACAACGTAAACGCGACAGACAGGTCCTGGGAGCTCAAGGGGAGCTCGAGTCAGCATGAATTGCGTTTGAACGTGCGAGCTGTCCCTCATTCAGGTCAATTGGCGCGCGCCTGTCATCCAGGCCGTGTCCACGGCGCTGCTCCCGTTCTCGCGTTGCAGTTCGTCCAGGACCAGGTACTTGCGCCATCGTCCGCGCCAGAACTAGGGCTTGAGCCGCAGCTCCCCAAATCCCTGGGGCTCCTCCCCCGGTCACGGCTCCCGCGTCATCTTGCAGCTCAAGCTCAGCAACTACCGTGTGGCTGCTCTGGCATCTGGCAGGGCGCGAACGCGGCAACACGGCAACCCCCAGGCGCAGGCACTTCCTTGCGGGTGAAACCCGCTTTGCTTTTCCTGCAAATTGCAGGCCGTGCATGTCTTGGGAGCTCGCCGCCCGGCATCATGTTTGGTCGCCCTGCGTGCCCCGTTTCCCCGCGTTTTAGCCGGCAACGTCCAACTGCTACTCGTACTTCAGGCGGGTTCCCACATCCGGCATCTAGCCGTGTAAGCCACGATGCCTCGCAATTGGGAGCATAGATTGCAGAGAAGCTATCAGCGCGTCTGATTTCGAGTCAAGCCAGATTACCTTACTCCTACCTTCTTCGTTCAGGATTCCCACTTGACGACCCCGTATCATCGCTCGCGAGTAGCCCACCCCCTCAGGCATCATCCTCCTGAACCATGGCTGGATCGTGCGTTACCTTAGACGTATGATCTGTGCTGCGAGACTCACGATCCACGTCCGAATTCGTCTGACGATGTATGGCCAGGCTCTGCTCCGAATGCCGCTGTGACTCTGCCACCCGTGACGGCCGCAAGAGTGCCTCTTCCCTGATAATCGACGAACGGTTTCTTCGTTTCGAGGCTGCTGGGTGCGACTTCCCATCCTCAATCGAGCCGTGTATCTGGTGAGAGACAGCAGCCGTGGGGTGTTCCGAGCTCTCGCTACGGACATTCCTTTGAGCTTCCCCTTCAACGCCTCCGCCCCAGGTAAGCCAAGGTATCGGTTTGAGAGGGCTGGGTCGGAACGAGGCGCCGTTGATCGGGTCATGGAGGTCGACCCAGATGATTGTCTCCGTAGTCAGCTCGACTGCCGCACCATCGCCTCCGAGTCGTGACATGTTACGCCGTCGACGGTTGCTAGACTGGACAAATCAGCAGAGCCCATGGTTCCTCTCCATGAGATACTTACCGGCGTGCCTGTTACCTCCGTCATTGTTCCCTCTGCCTCCTCCTTCATAGCCCGTCGAGCACGAGTCACCCCTCCATCCACAGCGTCAACCCTCCGCAACCCCTTTCGCAAAACCGCCCGCCTCCCCAACCCATCCACCTCCACCCCCACAACACACATTGCACACAGCGGCGGCTCGTTGACCTCCCTCCCCCCTCCTCGCCTCCGTCTCCAATTCTTGCCATCCTCGCCGTCCCCGTCCTCCACATCGGCAAACAGCGCTCGGAGAGGCGTCCCGGCACAAACCGCCCTGCTCCCGCAGAGCAAGCAGCCATAGCACGCCCTATGCCAGAAACACCACCCGAAGCTCACGCACTCGTCGCCGCGCAGGACCATCTCTCCGCAGACCTAGCATATCGATAGGTCTAGCACCGTGACGTAGCAGGCCGCGCAGACGAGCCGCGCGGAGCGGCCCAGAACGCGCGGTGGGCCGGCACTCAGCGCGAAGCAGAAGGTGCAAGTGAAGACGTTGCCCATCTCCGGATCTCGCATGCTGACGCAGTTTCGGAAGAGAGTAATCGTTGTCGAGATGGTCTGTTGTTGTAGCAGTTTCAAAGCCTGCCTGGGCTGAAAGTCGGGCCGGCTCGCGATGAAGATTAGAGTGGGCTATGCTCTAGGCAACAAGCCGAAATAGTGATAGTGATAATAGGATATCGATATTAAAAGACGCCCTGTTTCGGCTCCTGGCTCACGGATGTTGCGTGAGATATGCTTCGGGCCAGCCTGAGTGCCGGGCGACGAGAACAGGCTGCATCCCGATATGGTGCAGGACCCGAGTTGGGGAAGGAGCCAACCACTGGCCAATGTTCCAATGCAGATGAGAAGGAGCTACGCACGTCTCTTCATCGGACTTGCGAAATAATACACATTTGATACACAGTCAAGATGACGGAAATCCCTATCAAGTTTGTGCCATTGGGCACGTCCAACGCCGTTTTCCAGAACCATTCGAAACGCCCAGTCGGCATCTGGCAATGCCCAATGCCTCAACCGGGCCGCAAAGCCCAGACAGAGACGACAGTGTCTGTGCCAGTAAAAGCACGCCAAACGCCAGCCAATCAACCAAACATAAACGGCGGCCGCCTCGTTTCATCGAGAGCCGCAAAGACCAACCCCAGCCATGTGCGAGGGGAACTTTCAATGTTCAACATGTACGCTCGCCGGTGCTGCAGAATCAAACGTCGGCTCCTCCGCCCCTATCGACATCCACTACACTTCCTCTAGCCGCGGTTTTTGGGGCGGGCGAGCATGTTGAGCCGGCTCAGGCTCAGCACGGCGCCTCTCTTGCTAGGGGTGGCTGACGCAGGAGTTCGGCTCGGAGTGACAGCTGGCGCACGGCTCGGCGTCTTGGTGGGCGTTCGTCCGAGGAGCCTCTTCTTGGCGCTGCTAGCTGCCGATACTCCGACCAGGCGAGGGGCAAGCAGGGCCTGGCCTTCGGGCACCGTCTCGTGCTTGCGCTTCTTAGCCGCGCGCTCAGCAGCTTCGTTCTCTGCATCCTCCTCGTCCGAGCTTGCGCGGTGGCGCTTCTTGTTCGCGATTCCATGAGCCGTGCCAGGCAGCAACTTGGGCAGCGGGGGGGCTGTATTCTCCTTGTTAGGGTGGGAGCTGGGAGAAGGCGGAGCAGGAAAGCTACCAGGCATGCTCGACGCCGGCAAGACCGAGTGGCGTACGTGGCGAATGCTCGCCTGTCCGGGCGACGCGCCGAATCCGTTGGCCGACGAGTCTCCAAACTTGATGGTGTGGTCACTGCGGAAGGTGAACTTGCCAGGGACGGACGCGGTCCGAGCCTTACCATCGGCCGATTGGGGCTGGATGAGGCGCTTCAGGGGCGACAGGTCCGGATAGAGGCCGTTGCTGGACTTTGACAGCGTCGTGTGCTCGTCGAGCTCCGGGTATTCGGCGTCCAGGGCACGCAGGGGGGCTCTTCCCGCAGAGAAGGTTACCTTCTTGGGCGATGGTGAGTCTTCGGAGATGGCAGCCTTGGCCGTGTCAGGGGTGAACGCCACGCGCTTCGTCAACTTGCGGCGAGGGGTCGTAAGGGGAATGGGCGGTAGCTCCTTGTCGATGCGGGCCGGGCCCGGAGTCAGCGATCCGAGGGCCGCCGGCTGAGGAATGGCGCTCTTGCCATCCTCCGCGTCGTGCTTCTGGCCACGGAGGATCGACTTGACCTTCTGGAAGCGAGTGGGACTAATGATACGGCGCTTGAGATCCGCAGTTCGTGAGACGGAGCCGATGCTCGTCGTCGACACCGACTTTGTCAGTCGGGGGATATCTGTGTTGGCTCCCGACGGGACCAGACTGATGGTCGGTTTCACAGGAGTAGCAGACTGAGCCAACGACGCCTTGGTAGGGCTCATGAGACGCGCCAGACCAGAATACGACTTTGCCAAACCCGTGGTGTTGTTGCCTCGTGAGACGGGCCGAACGCTCGACGCGTCGTCCTCCTGTCGCTTCTTAAGCCTCTTTGCAGAGGACGCGTATCCGTCTCGAGCAAGGGAGACGGGCTTCTCGGGCGCAGCCGCACTGCTTGCATCCTTGCGCACGACGCGTCTGGGGGTGTCGTTGTCCAGATTCGCGGCGGTAGAGGTGCGCTTCAAGCTAAGCTTGGGTCGCTGCGGTGTCGCGTCGGGACGTGCCTTGGATGCAGACGCCTTCACGGCCGAGTTCTGACCCACGGGCGTGCCGTCAAGCTCCGCCTTGGAGGGCGAGCGCTTCAGGCTCGACTTGATTGGCGTGAAGCGTCCATTCTGGGCTCGCCAAGCTGACGCATGGCCTTCGATGGAATCCATCTTCTTGAACTCGGCCATGTGCGCGGCACTGAAGCGTCCAGACTTGCCCTTGGGCTGAGCAATGACACGGCCGTGCACGTTGCTCGGATCGGCTTCGGCCTCCCTCTTCGCCACCAGGCTCTCCTTGATCTTGGCTGCCTTGTTGCGGATCTCCTCCATCATCCGCTGGGCATCGCCGCTCAGGCCCGTATCGGAGCCGACGTGGAAGGTGAAGGAGGAGGACGGCACCCCACTGATCTTGGACGGCGTGGCGGTCAGTCCGCGCTCCCTGCTGGAAGCAATGTCGGAGAAGCCGAGATGAAGGGCGATATCAGGCTTGCTCGTCGTGGGATGGGCCTTGCTCGGATGCATCTCGTCGTGCGGGGGCTTCAAAGCCGAGGACACGGGCGTCGCTGGCGTTCGCCGGGCGGCGGGAGTAGGCGACAGGACATTGTCGAGGGCTTTGGACGCGTTGCGAACTGGCGTCTCCTCGCGCTCCGCTACAGAGGACAGCTCGGGCGTAGCCTTGGCCTGTACACAGCAAGTCAATACGGAGCCATTGGCGGCGGTGGCGGCCGCCAGAGGTGGAGAGCACGGTACCTTGGCCACACTGCTGGCCAGACGGGCAGATCGTCGGCGAGTCACCGGGGACATGGCTCGTGAAGCGCCCAAGGCCTGGTGTTTCGAAGATTTGATGCTATTCACAGAGCAAAGGAGAGCGGAGTAAACTAAGCGGGGGGTCCAAGGAATGCAACAAGAACCGGGGGCGCTGGCAAGGGTTGGTACGGATGATGTCAAGTTCGATTTGGGGGTTTGTTGACACCGTGGGGGGGTTTGTTTACTTTGGTGTGGTCCAAGCTGCGATCTGCGCACGGATCACAAGCCACAGTGTGTTTGGACAGTGTGACGGGTCAATCGACACTCTCGCACTGTAACTGCATCTCGATGGAACCTGGACCATGTCCATCCATCCATGCCGAGCCCAACGGAACTATTCTGGGTTGAAACAGCATCTCCAGGAGTTTTCGACGCTTCAGATTTGTTGAGCGGCGCTGCGCTACGAGCAGCACCTGTCCAGCGGAGTGTAGGTCTGCCTACGAATGTGCTTGCGCAAACTATACACCAGCCAACACCTAATGGGGTCCAACTTCGGGCCTTTCATGTTTGCAAGACGCGGGACTCTGTGCACGTCTATATACGGACATGCTGCATGGCATGAGAGCACACAACACGATCGGATCTGGCGCACCGATGATCTGTTTCAAGTTTTTTGCGTCCGTCCCGTCGGAGTAACCGACCATGAGACGACAGTGGGCGAAGCTCTCTACCCCGGGCAAACACCAACGCTGGGTTCACAGAGTCCCGACACAGCCGCAGGGCGATTTCGGACGCGTGTCACACCGCCTGCCGAGCTCATCTCCTTTTCCATGGGCTCCGAGAGGGCGCGTGACGCCTCCGACGCCCGCCGCCGCCGCCGCCGCCGCCGCCGCGCGAGGTCATGTGAACAGTGTTTAAGATGGGCGGCGAGGAATCCGGCAGTGGGCTTGCCGGCGTTTGGTGTGAGATGCGCCACGCAACGGCTGATGCAGCCGAGATGCGCCAACAAGGGGACATGCATTAATAACCTGGCAGAAAGAGCCATCATGAGAGGAGCCATGCCCGGCGTTGTAAGAAGCTGCTGTTGTATGGGCGAGTGCAGGGTAGGTCGGACTCGCACCTGCGCTATGTGACCCCCAGCTTCCGATATCTTTGGAGCCTGGAATTCATTCCGCCGGAGTTGTTTCAGAAAGCCATGGCCATGTTACACTTTATTTTGCATCGCTGGATTCAAGCCAAACACGGCTGCGCGGCCTCCCACCCCCGTCTGCGGCCAAAATATCTGCGTGCTGCGTGGACAGTTCGGCAGCAGCGTCAACAGGGGACACCGGCCGCGATTAAAATGCCCCACGCTCGTCGGTTGGGGGGGGCCGCCGTTTCAGACGCCAAATCGGGGTTCTAGAAGGAATGGAAGTGCGCCGCTCACCGAGCCGTGCGCTGTTCCGTCGGCGCTGGGCCGCGTAGTTACTCGGGCAGGTGCCCGTTTTCCCACGGCACAGTATACATTGTGTGCATGCCCAGGCTCTGCAGGCCAGCCACGTCTTTCTTTCGACAGCGAGCTGCGCCGCAGAGGCCATCCGCTGCACAGTGGCCGGTCTTCTGGAACACGGCCACGCGCGATGGAGACAAGCTTGCGACGGGCACCGCCACGGAAGAGCCCGCGTCGAAGCAGGGCAAAGCACAGACGGGTACCGCGTACAGCGCAGAACGCGCGTTTCCCGCGGCCGACGATGCCTTCCCCTGAATGGACGGGATGCGGGAGGTGCGTGTCGTTGCACAGCACAGTCACTTGCCGCGCCGCGCAGCGGCGAAGCTCGCCGACTAGAAGCGCCCCAGACGAGCTGCAACCGGGCGTCACATCGCACGGCATGGCGTTTGAGGGCCCCTAGCAACTGCCCGTGAGCAAGTTTGGGGGGCTCGGGTAGCCTGGGCAGGGCAGGGCGGTCCATGGCTCGGTGCCTACCAAAGTGCCAAAGGTGCAGCATTCTGTAGTTGACGGAAGACACGGATCGCCGTTCGCAAGGGCATCGTCACGCAGCGGGCGGACCTGCGGTATTCGACTTCTCCGGGGCGGAGCGAGCAGTCCGTCCCACACCCCTGCCGCACTCACTCAACGCGCTCGTGTCAGTTGGCTCGCACATGCAGGCGGCTGATGATGACGACGAAGAGGATGGGACAGACGGGCTGCAGCGGGAAGCAGTACTGTAGCTGTCTCTTATACACATCTAGATGTGTATAAGAGACAGGTGTCAGTTGGCTCGCACATGCAGGCGGCTGATGATGACGACGAAGAGGATGGGACAGACGGGCTGCAGCGGGAAGCAGTACTGTAGGTGCGCTGCAGGCAGTGGCAGGCAGGCACGGGCGGGCAGGCATTGGAGGCGAGCCGTCCAGGTGTCGTCGCCGATAGCGGGCGTCGAAGATGCACTGGCACGGCGCATCCCGTCAATGCATTGTTGGGCGCTGTCTCCGGGGCCGGCATTCCTCGCTGGGACAGCAGGCCTGGACCCCACGGCCGGCAGCACCTCACCAACAGGCCGGCACCAACAGCACTCACTGTACGGCACTGTGTGTACCTGCTGACGGGACTCCGGCCAACTGCCTGGCCCAACCTGCCCGTCCTGGAAGGCAGGCGCGAACACCTGCCTGCCTGCCCGGTTGCTTGCGTGCGTTGGCAGGCGGTTAGATCTGAGGAAAACCGGTGACGCCAACGTCGAACCGCGCGCCCACCCCTCGTCCCCGCAGTGGGCAGCCCGGCCAGATCTCTGTGCCCCAAACCCCCGGAACGACATTAACTAACGTTCGAAGACGGGTGTTCGTCCGCACGGCCGCCGCGAGAAAACCCACAAATAAGGCATAACAGCAGCGCAGCACTATCCTGCGGCTCCTGCCTGTCTGTGCGACTCGCTAGCCAACTAACCTTCAAATGCGGCTGGGGCTCTCCCGCGTCCGTCGTCGCGCCAGTGCGTGTGTGGTCCGCCCAGACGATGTCCACGACGAAGACGACGGCAACGGGCCAGCCAGCCAGCCGCCAGGGGGAAGAATTTTCGCGACATCGGCCGCGGAGGTCGACGAACTGCTCCAGGCGGGGCCATGTAGCTGCGAAGAAGTGCCACTGGCCAAGTACCGCAGCCCGTCGCCCCACCCGCCCTCCAGCTCGCTCGCCATTGATCCAACGGCGCCGCCTCCCAGCAATGTCAATGGAATACGCGCCGCGCTCCGGCTTGCCGTCGACCTGGCTGGTGGGCGCTTTCTGGGTGAGGTGGGTGGACGGTTGGCTTCAGGTTCACGGCCCTCGTACTTCGCATGTACCCAGTGCTTCGAGCTGACTGACTTGGCTGGGTTTGGAAACAAGCACGACTTGTCACGAGGCCTTCCCGAGGCCCCAAACCTCCACGCCGCTCCCTCCCTCGCCCGCTTCCCGAGACACGTTTGCGCCGAACAGGCAAGCACGTCTTCGACGAGAACCGCCTGCCAGGCTTCTATTTTTTGTTAGACGCCCTTCCCCTGCTGGACGCGGAGAGCCTCCTGCCCAGAGCGGATGGTATTTGCACGTCCCAGGCGCCCGCCCGATGCAGACGCGGGACGGGCCCAGCAGCTAAAAGTCAGTAGCAGCACTACTTGTAAGCCGCCGTGCAAGTCCCCTGACCCAGCGGCCATCCATTCTTCGCACCATACGTACGTAGCCCTGAACCGTTCGAGAGATGGCACCGTTTCTGTTGGCCCGGATCCCTGGCTTGGGACTTGTGAGCCATCCGTGGCCGCACTGTCCGCCGCGCCTGGCGAGTCCGGTAGGTCGGCGCTCTGTGACGATCGCCCAGTCTCACAGGGCGGGAACGGGGCCCGTGGCGCATCCACAAGGAGCATGTAGATGCGCATCGCCGCGCATCGCCCTCCTCGCATTGCGCGCGCGCGACCCGGCAAATGTCCATGGGCCAGCCCCGTCGCCCGTCGCCCATCGCAATCCAGATCTTCTGGGCGCACGGCACTCACCTTGTTGGACTCGGACCCTTTGGCCGTCTCGCCGCCGCCGGCCACCGACAGACGATGCTCCGGTGGCTCCTTGGCAGGCCATGATGCGCTCTGCGCCTTGCAGTTTTCGGATCATCGAGGGTGCCTGGTCTCGCGCGGACAAGATTCTCTCCTCCCAACAGACTTTTCCGCCACCGGCTGCCGTACGTGCGCGCGGCTAGGCAGTCAGTTGTGAGGCAGCGTTGCCTCGCTTCTGCTGCACTCTGCAGGTATGGCCTCGTCCGAGGCGAGCGCGAGGCCGGACACGCACTCGTATACGAGGCATTGGACGTAGTCGTGAGGAACAACGGCCTGCGTCAGACGGCGGGCCTTGCACCGCGGGACCCCTTGCGATCCATGCCAGGCGAGGTGCCTCACCACACCACGGTCAAACCAGAGCGTCAAGGTGACGAAGACCAAGTGCCCACCAGCCGGGCGGCTCGTCGGACTTGTCAGTTGCGGGCATGGTGTGGCTTCCAGGACCGCTACCCGCGAGGTACTTGGATGAACCCACTCACACGCACCGGGTGAGCCGGCCAGCTGGGGCCACCATAGGTCGCCCGAAGGTCACCTGGCTTTCACGTTGGCCTGGCCAGACAACTTACTCGTACTTCCATTCGTGTTAGTACCTCGACTAGCGGGCTCAGGCGAGACGGCATGGTCTTGCGCCATCCAGACTCGTCGCCGGTTGTCGGCGCCTGCCTCCTGCGCAAGGTCGACGAGGCTCAGCAAGATGCGAACGTGCTCCCTGCTGGCCGGATCCAGCGGGATGCCGCCGAACAGCGGTTTCAGTGTCTTGTGAGCCAGATGATGAGAACTAACAGCCCACTGGGCGGGTACCAGGCGGCAACCGAGCAAGGCGAGGAGCGTGGGAAGCATGACGTTTTTTATAGACCCAGACTCGCAACGACGCCCTCTGCATGAAATCGAGAACCGCACCAGGTCCCCGAATGGTGTGATGCAGGTGCTCCAAGGATCCAGGACTTGGCGTGGGACCGGCCGCGGGAACGAATCGACGCAAGCGAGGAGCTCGCATACATGAAGAGGTCTCCCTGTCTAGGGCCAACGTACCTGTCCTATCCGAGCTCATCTGGGCCTCCCCTCCTGTAGCGCCCGCACAATGTCTCCGTGGCTGGAGATGCCGGCAAGGAGGAGGGCGGGCGGGCGGGCGAGGTGAGGTCGAGGTGAGGCAAAGGCGATGGACGAACGGGGCCGTGCCATCGTCTGCGGCTGCGGCTGCATCTGCGTCTGCGTTGCGTTTGCGTCGACGTCGGCGTCTGTGTCTCTGATGCTGAGAATCGGCGCCGCAGACCGTCCTCAAACGTGCAGCAACGGCGGGCGCCTCGCGAGTCGCAACGGTGGGTATTGGGCGCAGCCGTGCTAACTGAATACTTCAACCTGTGCGTCGCTCGCTGGGCGTCGTGCCTGGGCCGACGCGGAACTGCAGGCTCCCTGGTGTGGCCTGTGGGCAGCGAAGATGAGGGGTGGTGGAGGCGGAGGCTTGCGAGGAGCTTGGAAGGGCCAGGTGATGATGGATGGGGCGCCGCTAGCGGGAGCGCAGGTGGGTTCGGCGAAGCGGTGCAGCAGGAGCAGGAACCCCCCAGGCCATCCGCATCAATCTGCATCCACCAACTCCGTATGCATCCACATTCCCCCAAATCCACCGGCAGCGCAGCACGTCCCAGTCCACGTCGACGGTGCGAACGTGCGTCGTGCTCATACAACGCGAGTCCGCTCCTGTACGAAGTGTGCGCCTACGCCCATCCGCATCCACACATCATCCATGGATCCCGCCTGGAAGCCTCCGGCGCGCAGACACCGGTGCACACACTGCACACGCACACGCATACATACGTACGCAGACACCGGCAGGCACACACACACGCACACTCTCGTTCACACGTCCCCCTCTCCAGCCCGAGCCCGAGCCCGAGCCCGCGCTTCTCCCGCAAAGCCAGGCGCTGTAATTAGGCTTCCAGGTTCCAGAGCAATGGAAGCCTCCCCGTCGGTCCGTCCAGGTCGCGAGCACAGTACGTACAGTGGGCTTAGTGCACACCCAAGCAGCCCAAGGCACCTGCCTGCCTGCGCAAAAACGGGCTCCACGCCTCCCAATCCAGCGTCCGCCGGGCTCGCTCCACCGGCCGGGCCCCTGGCGCTGTGACTGGCTGGGGGTGGCCCCGTGGAGGAGGAGCCAGCATGGATTCACGGCCAGCCCACGATGCTCAATGAGGGGAGCCCAGCGCAGCCAGTGCAGCCGGCGCGGCCAGCCAGCAGGGCAACCTGGAACCTGGGAGGGACGGGACCCCAGGCCAGGCCAGGCCCAGCCAAGGCGTGGCCCCCTCCCTCCCTCGTCCGTCTCCCCATCCCCATGCCACGCCATGCCATGCCACGGCCCCCAGCTGGGCGGCCGGCCTTCCACAGCACCCAGCAACAGCAGATGGGGACCCCTCTTTGCTCGCTCCAGTTGTCATTACATAAAAGACCCCGGGACGCTGCCCTCACAGGTCCCGTCCTTCCCTGTTAACCCGTCCCGTCCCCAGAGAGGCTTGTCGACATCGACTCCAAGAGCCGCTGTCACTGCCTGGTTCAGTCTTCCTTGTCCTCCCCAAAAGCAGCTTGCCAGCACCATCTGCAACCGAGTCTTGCAACAGCACGTCGTCGGCCAAGGCCCGTTACTCACGTCGAGTGCTGACTCCCCCGCCGCTGCAAGCGCCTGCCTTAGCCGCCGCAGACGCCCTGCCAACTGCCATTTCTGGGGAGCAGCAGCCGATTTTTTTTTCCTGCACCACCCAGAGCCAGCCGCTACCACCACCACCATAAGCACCGCCCGCGCCGCCGCCGCTGCCGCCAACAGACCCAGCGGCACCACCACCAACACCACCACCACCACCGCCGCCGCCGCCCAGGGAAAAACCTGGTCCCTACCGACAACGGCGCAACCCGACTCTCTCGTTGCGCATCGCCGTCCTGCGACAGCGAGCCTCCTCCGCAGCCGCTTCCTCTTCCCGCCCGCGATAGGATAGCACCTCCCGACGTGCCCTCCGCCGGTACCGTCGCCCCGCCGTTTTGTTTCTCGAGACCCTGGGGCGTTCTGCCGCGCTGCGGCTGTCCGTCTTGCCGAGAGGCCCCCGCGCCGCCGTCGCCCGCCAGAGGGATGGCAGACAAGATGTCCATCGATAACAAGCCGAACCCTGCCCGCCGGGACGAGTCCGACGACTCGGTCGATTCCACCCCCGAGAGAGAGCAGAATCCGCCTGCTGCCGCCAACGCCAATGCCTCCCAGGATACCCAGCAGCCCAAGCGAAAGGGTGGCCGCAAGCCCGTGAGTCTCCTCCTCCCCCTGTCACCAGCAGCAGCTGCTGCCCCTCACTCGTCTGAACGCGGGCCCCGGTGTCCTCGCTCTCGTCACGTCGTCCTGCGTCATCCCACAGCGCGGACCGATGTTCCGCTTCGTCACACAAGCCCGCCGCCGCCCCAATCATCCCAATTGGCTCGCCGCCGATCACTCAATTCGTTGTGCGACTGTCGCACGCAGAGGCGAGACATGCGCTGACGTGCCAACCTTAATTCCCCAGATTTATGCCACCTCCGAGGAGCGCAAGCAGAGGAACCGTCAGGCCCAGGCCGCTTTCCGCGAGCGCCGCACCGAGTACATCAAGCAGCTCGAGGAGACCATCCGCGTCCACGAGTCCAACCTCCACAACCTCCAGACTGCCCACCGCAATGCCGCCGAGGAGTGCTTGATGCTTCGCTACAAGAACTCCCTCCTCGAGCGTATTCTTCTCGAGAAAGGTACGGCGCCATCGCCTCGACAGGCTTCGGTTGCATTGCTAACGCTTCGACTCCGAACCAGGCATCGATGTCCAGGCTGAACTCCATGCCAAGACGGGCAGCCCTGATTTGGGACCTACACACATGCCCCAGAATTTGGTGCAGCCGCCCACAATCCAGCGTGCCATCCTGAACCGCCACCACCAGTCTCGCAAGTCCAACTCGAGCATTGCTCCCAAGGCCGAGCCCGTGACGACGCCGCTCAACACGTCCCTCCCTCCGCACAAGTCTGCCACTTCCCCGAAGAGTCGACCGACGCCTTCGTCTCACGCCAACTCGCCGACAGCCAATGTCGGGTCCGCTTTCTCCCCCGCCCCATCGGATAGCATCTCGCTTCGGGGCTCCGTGGGCGGTTTGCCGCGGCAGGCGATGCCGACTTCCAATGCCAACGCGTCGGCGAGGTCCATGATGCAGTCTGGAGCTGGCGCTCGCAGCCAGTCTCTTGGACAAGGCGCATCGTTCTATCCCACACCGGCCTTCCAGAGCCACATCGAGCAGCTTGGTGCGTCAGACCCAAACGCTCCAGTGAACTGTCAGACCCAGACTAACGCATACCAGAACACGAGTATGACGGACAGAACGACATGGTCGACGACTCGGAGCTCGATACGCCAAACGGTGGCGGTCACTATGCCAGCGCCTTCAACAGCGACAATCAGCAGACGATGCTCCTCTCGCCGACATCGACCGCGCCCGGGCACCACGTCTCGCAGCCTCACGATGCCGTCTCGGCCGCCCACCAGCCATTCCCGTCCATGACACAGCTTTTGGGCCAGAACCTGGACTGGGACCCCTTCGGTCTGAGCGCCAGCATGGCTTTCCCGAACCATCAGCAGTTTCAATTCGACCAACCGAACCTTCGGTGACTATCTCGAGCTGCAGCCGGATGATGGGCGTCCAGCCAGGATCGAGCACGCTGTCACTCAGCGCCTGTATTGAAGGCGCACAGTGTCTCTCGTTCAATTGGTCAGGACCCGAAAGTGACATGGCAGTCACTCCACGATCATCCGGCAAACACCGAAGTAGCGCCAGGGCCATGGTGGTGAATCGATTACGGATAGCCGCACGCCCGCCGGCATGCCACGACGCGCACGCCGGCTCCGGCTTCAAGCTGTCCCATCACGAGAGCTTGTCGACTAGACGGGGAACGCACATAGACCATGAGCGATGCCTCTTCTTTCCGGTCGCCGATTCTCTTCCCCGCCGCGGCTGGTAAGGCTGCACCGCCCGTCACCCTGCACATCACAAGTTAGATGTGCCCGAGCCCAGGTTAGGCTACAATCCTGGGGACTTTTGGCACACTGAAGATGGCCTCATTCGAACATAAGCGTCAGACTCGGCATGTTACAATATAGATGCTCGGGGACGCTGCCGGACAGCCCGGCTTCTCAGCAATGTCGTTCTTGTACGGATCTTACTTTTTTACGCACGCTTTTCGCGACATTCGAATTTCTCCAACGCCAGCGCCTTCGTGGTGCCGCACCTCTCGGGAAGTAGGGGCGAATATACCCATGGCTATATGCTCTGCGAAGGCGGACACAAAAAAGACCAAAAATACCGGGAAAGGTTTAATCAAAAGTGTTTACTTCGACGCCCTGCTTCTGGCGTTTGTGGGCTGGATGGATGGCCGAGCTCACGGACGGCACAAAAACGAACGAACAAACAAAAGGGGGCCACGCTGTGGCTTCGGCTGGAAGAGTAGCCTGTAGCGTGTCTTGTTAATGAGTATTCGTGTCATTTCGAGCACTTGTGGGTTGGAATGTGTCGTCGAATCCCTGGGGGATGGACATATGTGGCTACACTTCATGTACATGGGTTTTCAGTTGCCTTGTTGTACCGGAGGGCTGTCGAATTTCTTGGCATAGCACGACTTATGAGATGAAACGAAGACAGAGCAATGGGACATGCATTAATGGTCGTCGCCTTGTGTGCCGCACTTGTCCTCCTCTGTGCACGCCTTGCCGCCTCCGTGTCGGTGTGGAGATGGATGCCTTGGTATTAGGTGGTTGGACGTGTCTCGGGTGGGCTAGCATCCAGGGGGGGAGGGGGAAAACTCTTTGCGATCACGAGGGGTGGCGGAGGAGGCGGATGGAACGAGACCAAGACGACGGGACGGGGCAACCTTGAGGGGCACGGACGGCGGGCGAACGACCTGCGTAGCTCCGTACGAAGGAGCCGGGGAACCGGCGGGTGTCTCTTTGGGGGAATGTGCATGGGGATGGGGAAGAGGGGGGG